GAAGTCAGCTTCATAAACTTGGAATGTTCTTTGACCAGTCTGTGATAAAAACACATGAGTAATCTTCATGAGGTAAATAAGGAGATAAGTGACTAAATGTATCTACTCTTTACATATGCATATTTACAAATGCACATTTAAATTAGACCCAACAGACATTGGAGCCTGCCCCATCAGAGCAAGTATACACAGGAAGGCAAGTTCTGGATTGGACTGTAGATGCCTTGAGTCATTAGGAAGCTAACCTGACTGGAGCAGAGTATAAGCGTTAGGCAGCAAGAGAATAACTCTGGTTTCTGCTCTTCAACCTAAAACAATTTCCAGCTGTCAGAAAGTTGAAATATTGGTCCAAATTATATTACCTAAGTTAAAATAAGCATCCCTAAGAATAGATCACTGCATATATATTAAGGTACATGTATTATTACTTTTTCTTTTTGGCCCCAAAAATAGAACCCAGGACCTTGCACTTTCCAGGCAGGCGCTGTGCCGCTGAGCTATATCCCCAGCCCAAGGTACATGTATTATGCAACAGTTGATACCCTATTCCTATATCTTATGAACCAGAATTGGACTCTTCACTACACACAAATTCATTGTTAGTGTGTTTTTGGTTATTTTGTTTTCTGGCCTTGATATGCAGGCTACTGGCACGTCTCCAAAGATTTGAATTTCTGGAAATGTCCTTGACAAACCCACCCAAAGAAACAGCTAAACACTCAGAAAACAATAGGTATTTCATAACTAGGAACTGTGAAGTTTGACCTAAAACTGACAATGGGCTTCTTATGAAAATCTCACTTCCTTGTTTGAGCCATATAGCAAACTTATAAAGTATACAGGGCATGTGCTACAGCATTCCCCCATTTTATGGATGACAGTTATAGCTGGTTTTTTAAAGTGTGCATTATCTGCCAGACTCTAGGCAATTTCCTAACATGGTTTGTATGTATGCATATATTTAAATGTTTCATATATATACATATATATATATATATATTTTCTAATAACCTAGAGGTAAGCATGGTTCCAGGTGACAAAATATTTAACAGTAAAGGACTTGCCCAAACCTACACATTTAGCAACTGACAGAGCCAGGTCTTACTCTTCATGTTTTTTTTTTTTTTAAAGAAAATTTTAAAAAACAATAAAAATAATGCAGAATTTCAAAACAAGATGATAGGAAATTAACAATGGTTGTTATATTGCATATTGTTATCTTCAAAGCAAATCAAGCAATAACAAATGCTGGCCAGGCTGTGGGGAAAAAGGAACTCTTCTCCACTGTTGGCAGGAATGTAGACTGGTGCAACCACTGTGGAAATCCGTGTGAAGAGTGCTAAAAAACTCTCCATGTCTTTGTACTCTAATTCCAAAGCCCTCTTTAGGCATACACGAATTAGATGTAAGAATCATGAAACTTGCAAGAGATTATTCAGATCACAATCTAATTTTAGAATTTGAATTATTACTTAAGATATAATCTATAAGCTGAAAATATATTTAGTGCCTCATTTTATAAATCTTTATCTCATTGTTACTCCCTGGATACTGGGTGAGTAAGAAGATTTTTGTGTTTAATTCAACCATGCCGACTGAACACTCCTCTGTATAGGAATTTGAGCTGGGGTTTTTCCTTTTTATTAAAATGAACTTGAAGAGCTCAGTGAACATACAATCAAACCAACATATCATACTGGATATTGCTGCTCATGCATTCATGTTTCGTGGATAAAGAGGAAGGGAAAATTCAAACAGCCGCTTTCTTAGTCTATTCTGGCTGTCATAAGAGAATACCACAGGCTGTGTAGTTTATGAGCAACAGAATCTTATTTCTCATCATTCTGGAGGCTGGGCAGTGCAAGTGAAGGTGCCAGCAGATTTGGTGCTTGGTGAGGGCCTGTTCCTGGTTCAAAGGTGGTGCCTTGAGACTGTGTCTTTACATGGTGGAAGAGACTATTAGCTTTCTGGGGTCTTTTTAAAAAAAATAAGGGGACTAATCCCATTCATGAGAGCTTTACCCTCAAGACCTAATCACCTTCCAAAGACCCTACCTCTTAATGCTCTCACTCTAGAGATTGTTTCAACACATGAATTTTAGGGGGACATAGACATTCAGAACATAGCACCTGGCAAGCAATTCTCAGTCTGTTCTTCAACCTCTGGCTAAAACAGCCCACCCTAGACCATCTACTATACACTCAGTGTTCTACTGACATCACCTCTACTCTTCAACATCTTTGTGGCTTGGTAGGTATTGTTATCCTCATTCTACAAATGAGGTGAGTAAAGCATAGAGGTAAAACAAGATGAGAGCAGGCTTGGATCAAGAGCAAGGCTTTCTATCAAGACTACCAGAGTTTGCGACTTGAATCTGGCTCCATACATACCAGCTGTGGGAAAGTTTCTTAATTTTTCTGTGCCCCTGTATGTTCATCTCTAAATAGAAAAACATATAAATTCATACAGTTATTATAAGTACAAATCACATTAAACAGTTTATAGTGCCAGGGCTTGCAGTACAATCCAATGAATGTGAGCTGCTATTGTTAATTTGGTGTGTGTGTCCCAGAGCCGAGTCTGAGGGGCTGTTGTCTGCGTATCTCTTTTTTCCTAGGTGATCTCATTCAATCCCATGACTTTAAATACAAAGTGTACTGATGACTCCAACATTTGTTTCTTCTGCCAAGTTGGTACTTTCCAAACATGTTAGTTCATATCAGTTTTTTACTCAAAAATCACTCTAGTAACTTCCTGTCTTTTTTTCTCAGTAAAAGAGTTGGACTCCTCACCAGAGTAAATGAGGACCACATAATCTGTCCTACTTTTCTGATTTGTCTCCTAGATCTTTCCACATCTTTTCTTTTCTTCAGCCACCTTGGGGGTTGATCAATGAACAGCCCCAAGCAATTTTGCTTCTCAGACCCACTGGTCTGGTATACCCATCTCCAGATATTCACAGGACACGTTCCCTCACTTTATTCAGCTATTCACAGTCCTTAAATCAGTGTTTGGTGGGTAGGATAGATTCAATAAATATTTATTGCTTAACTATACTTATGCTAATTGCCCAGATAGTAAAATCTCTCCCTCTTTCCAGCCCAGTAATCTGCATCCCATGGCAGGAAAGATACAAATTTCAAATAATGGTTCTTAAGACTCTTGAATTTAAGCTAGAAATTTTATGTGCATTAAGGTTGATTTACTATTCAGCAGCACTTAACAAATATCTACTGCACATGTACTACATGCGCTTGGATAAGAAATAAGAGCTCACTACTATGGAATAGAACTTTACCCAAGAAACTTGAAAGCTAATAAAGGTATCTCATCATACTTGTGAATCTCTAAGCTAATCATTGGTTCTATTTATTGTGTCCAAATGGAATGAACATCCTTCAAAGTTTTTCTTGCCCCATCTTTATGAATCTCAGCCTGTTCGTTTAACCCAAATTTTAGACATTTTCTTAGATATCTCATCCTCTGTATTCAATTCATCTGCAAATCCTAAACTACAAAGTTTATGGAACTTATTCTGGGACCATCTATTTCTCCTCACTTCCACCTCTACAAGACCTTACTCTCAGGATGACTCTACTTGCCTAGGGTATGAGCAGAATTTCCTAAATCCTCCTTGTCTTCCCATTTGTACCCATTTAATATGTACTATAAATTACACACTAGTCCCTTCCTTAAAAGCTTCCTTTTGTTATTCTACTGTAAATAAATCCACTCAGAAAAATGTCTGACCCATTACCCTAGCCTTGAAGCCCTATTTGATTTGGCCGTAATCACCAGTAAACCTTCTTTCCTACCATTTCTCTCTTGCCTCGCATTTCTATGATCACAGGAAGCCCTTCTCTGTCCCCAGATTTTTGTACTAGTAATTCCCTCTCATCTAAATGATCTCACCTTAGATGTCATCTTTTGGATGAGGCCTTCTTAGACTACCTGATTGTCCTCTCTGGTCCACTCTCTGTTTTCTTTCTTTTTTTTTTTTTTTTTTTCCAGTACCAGGAATCAAACTCATGACCTCACGCTTGCCAGGCATGCACTGTGCCACTGAGCTAAATCCCCAGCCCCTACTCTGTTTTCTCAGAGTGGATTGCATTCACTTATTGTTCACTGCACTGTTGCTGTCTAAAGTTTCTTTCTCTGTTTATTGTCTCTTTCTCTCCTGTAAAATTTAAACTCAAGGAAGACCGAGGCCTTGCTTTATCAGCAGGGTTTATAACAGCGCTTAACACATAGTAAACACTCAAAAACACTTGTCAAATAATAAACCTTTGTCTTAACTTTGATAGCACATGTGGACAGCAGTAGTTTTAGTAACTCTTCTCTTTGATCTATATTCTCTCGACTGATAACATTACTTCAGTCCACACAATGGGCCAATATAGCCGAGGAAGGGTTATTTCCTTTCCCTATTTCTTGGAAATCTCTAGGTCAAGATTTGGATTCAGCGCGGTAGTATTTCAGAATTATTGGAGGGGGGGATGAAGACAGTTGTCATTTATCACTTAAAATTATGAGGAAGTAAGAAAGAAAATTCTTAATATCAAAGATATTTGGAGTTGGAGATGTTAGACAAAGACAGTGGGGGAGAGAAAAATGTTACAATGAGGGAAGGAAAAGAAATGAGAAGAAAGGAAGGATTAGAGTTTGCACCGTGCCGTGTAAGTATACATGGTACGGGGTTTGGGTACCACATCTTGCCTTAGATAAACCCCAAAGAAAGGAAAGAGATGTAGTAAATCAGGGTGGCGGGGGAGAGAGAAAGGGTAGGGTGGGGCACGAGGACCAGAAACACGAAATAAGCTAGAAAGAAAAGAGAAGGACCGAGGAGAGACAGAGCAGAGCAGTACAAAAGCAACCTCGGATCTTGCCGGAGCTGCAAGCGTTAAAGGGAGGCGGGGAGTGACGCGCTTTGCGTCTGGAGCGGCTCCTTGGAGTCCACAGCATCCACCGCCGGAGCCTCGCCTTCCTTTCTCCCTCTGCAGACATATCGAGACACAAAAAGAGAGGCAACCCCTGGACCACTGCGAGGGACTCACCCGCACCATGACCGAGACCACTAAGACCCACGTTATCTTGCTGGCCTGCGGCAGCTTCAATCCCATCACCAAAGGGCACATTCAGATGTTCGGTGAGTCCTCCCGCCCACCCCGGCCGGCACCTGTGTTTTCCAGGGCCACTGAACGGGAAGGCGTGTGCCCTGCGGAGGGGTGCGCGGCTGCTCCCGCGGGGGCGAGCCAGCCGCTCCATTCGCGGCTCCCGGGAGAGGAGGGGACGCAGACTGCGTTTCCGCGGCGTCGCTCGCCCTGGCCGGGCCGCCTCGCGGGGGACCGAGTGGGGGCGGGGCGGGGCGGGAGGTGAGGGTCCCCCGGAGCCCGGTTCTAGGTTCCAGCACCGAGTGCAGCGGTGCGGGGGTCTGACTACTTGGCGGCAAGGGTCGGGATGGGGACAGAGGCTGGGGTGCGGAGAAGCGAGAGCGGGCCGGACGTAACGCGCGATTTGTTTAGCATGGACGAAGAGCTCCAAGGAGTTAAATATGCCTGGGAGGCGCAAGCACACTCGCACACGAAACACCAGGGACAAGGACTGGGGCTTCGGGCAAATGAATACAGCGGCCCCAGGACCAGTGTTGGGGGATCGTGGGTCGAGACTGGCCCGCGCGAGGTGGATGCTGTAGCGGATGGGGAGGGGGCCTCCGGGCTGCCGGGGTCCGGCTGGGGGACCTGCTGCCTCGCCAGGGGCGGGGGCGGGCGGCCGCGGCGGAGGTGCTCAGGGATCCGGGCCCAAGTTGGCCTCGGCTGTGCCCAAGGCGGCGACCAGGAAGGCTTGCGGCGCGCGAGTGTGTACGGATGTGTGTGCGCGCGTGTGGTGGGGCGGGGGCGCAGCAGCGCGAGTTTGTTTCTTAGAGGCTTTGGGGCGTGTAGAGAAAGAGCGAGAGCGAGCGAGCCGGGGCTTCTGGCTGCTGGTTTAGGGTGCAGCAGAGGCAGGGGACGTGGTAGAGATGCGTAGCCACTGGCGGAGAAACCACGCGGCTCAGCTGCTGCTCCAGGGCGACCCAAAAGAGCGGGGGTGGGCGCATTTGGACCCCGAGGTAGGGACGCGGAGGTCACTTCAGAAGCAGGGATTGAGAAGTTTGAAGTTGGGGTGTGTTTTTTCCTGGGGCTCAGGAGAAGGAGGTGTGGGAGAGAGAGCGCCGGGGCTGGACAGGAGGCCGGACCCGAGGCCCACACCCGGCCCTCTCTGGAGGCGCTCTCCAGAGGCGGCGGTGCTGAAAACGCAGGGCACGCCGGAGCTGGCTGCGGACACACGTGTTCGCCCGAGCCTGGCGATTGCGAGAGCTTTCCCAGCGCTCCTTAGTGAGAGCCACTCCTATTCGTAAAGATCAGGCGAGGTGGTTTAGGCTAAAACTATTCATCTCTAAACCTGAAAGATGCCCTGAAGTGGGACCGCTTGTTAAAAACCTTGCGAAAAGGATACAGAACAGCTTTGAACACAGAGCAGAGCTCATAAGCACTTTTTACACATCCAAGGATGGGGCCTGAGAGGGAGCCATCCCTTCCTCACTATTTCTTCCGCTTTGAAGTGTTTTATACGGAGCTAAGGTCGATCTGTCGGTTAAACAGAGACTGTTTCCAGCATGAGCATAGACCAGAGATCTTGTCAGTCTTTATAAAGATATCAGTGCCCTGTGAACACCTTACTTTCACTTTCTTTCGATTCTGGTATCCCTCTCTCCTACCCATCTCATGTTGATGTTCTTTGCTGCTGTCCCGTGATCAGGCAGGGGTGGGCTTTCCTGGGGAACTCCTTAGTTCTGGGAATCTTGAGTGGGCCTTGGTTGCTCCTCTTTTCTAGCTGGAGCTAAGGATGTGGTTAATTCTGCTTGTTTTAGGTTAGAAGAGAAACAGATTTAGATTGAGAACCAAGGGCTCTGTCTTGCAGCTGGAGAGAGGTTGGTAGTAGCAATAAAGGCTTTTGTTAAGTGGGAGCTAGCCTGCTAATTCTCCCTGAGCTTCGAAGCTAAAATATGTGAAAATAAGCAGGGGCTACAGAAGAGTGGAGACATAGGATAGGTGAGAGGAGATTTGACAGCTCTGATTACTTACTGGATAGCAGCACTGAGGATCTGGTTGTCAACAAAGCCCTTGAGTGTCCATTAGTTAATTCTAATCCAAAGAGCAACAGAGAAAACATACAATGTGCTCACTATGGCTTCAAAAAGCTTAGCGCTTAATGAAGGATTTAGCGTATAATCACATAAAAAGGAAGCAAGAAAAGAAGACAAAATGCATAGTAAATGGTTTTGTAGACTCTCTGACTGGAATCTTTGAGTTCTTGATAAATTGTATATTTTATTTTATTTGTCTCTTTGAGACAGGGTCTCGCTGTGCAGTTCAGACTGCTCTTGAACTCACTTTGTAGCCCAGGCTGGCCTTGAACTTGCAACAATCCTCCTGTCTCAGCATCTTTCCCAGAGTGCTGGGATTACAGGCATGCACCACCACACCCAGCTATATAATTTACTTGTGTAGAGCACTTTTTGGTTAATGATATCTTTTCATACATTTAATGTCACTTATTTCTATGAACTTTATAAGAAAGGTATCATTACTTCCATTTTACAAATGACAAACCGACACTGAGAGGCTAAGTGATTCTCTTACAAAGCCATGTGTAGAGAAGGTGGCAGAGTTGTCTTGAACTCCACATTTCTGAACCCTCTTGCAGAGGCCTCTGTAATGCATGAAAGGCAGAAGGAGGTGTTCACCAGTCTTCTGACTGCAAAATTTTATGAACACTCTATTTCCTTCAAACATATACTAACAGACAGGAATGCAATTGGCCATCAAGTAAGTGGATTCTTAAAGACACATTTTCCTAAGACCCCTTTCTCATCAATTTATCCACAAATTATTTCCTTCTTTTAAATGGCCTTCTACATTTTCTGACAAAGAATACAGAAATAGTTAATACATCAAACTATCAAACTTTCTTTAAGGGATCTGGAATTTATAAAAACTATAAAAGTTTTTAAACAAGATTGTAAAATAGGACTTTAAAATTAGACACCTTTAACAGAGCACCTATATTTTAAAACCCAACTGCTTACTAGAGGAAAAAAGTAAAAGACTACAAGCAGAAAGAGAAGAGTAAAGTAGCATTGTGCAATGCTCAATATTTATAAAATATTTTAAATGAACTTTTACTGTGAAAGGGAAATTGGTATAATTTTGCCACTTATGACTATAGAAACATATGGGAGATTTCTTTTTTTGACAGAGATACTTGACATTTATTCACTCAGCTGCAAAATGCTTTCAGGGATGAATAAAAGTTTTGTGGCAAAGTAAACCATAAACTAATGATGTTGTATTCATGGATCTTCATCATATAAGAACATAATGTGGGATTAGAGGTCTTTTTTAAATGTAAATTCTTAAGTTTTTATAACTTTAAAGATTTCCTCTGAAGTATAATCTCGACCTCTGTGTACTTAAAAACTAAGAACTTTAATTGCTATATTTGTCAATAAATTCACAACTTGAAAGTCAGGTAGCAAGTTTAAATAAAATGTAAGAAAGGACTGACAGTTTGGCCATAAAACCTAGAAGAATTTTAGTTTTTTGATGATTTCAAAATAATTAGATTTCTCTGTGTTTCTACTTCAAAATATTTTTCTTTTGAACAATTGGATCTTTTGAAAAGAGATATGATCTAATATGGCTCCACTTAAAGGGTAATAAAGAGGGTGCTCTACTTGTTTAATTGAAAATGCAACTCCAAGAAAAATGATTTTGATTGCAACTGATAGACAACTGTCAGAAATTAGCAAAAGTGTTTGTTATGCTTGAAATGCTTATATTAAAAAAATCACTAAGCGTAGTGTAGTACTTTATACTTTTGTACCACTATTTCATTTGTTCCTGCCTGTGAGATAAAGTGGTTAGTATTATCATCCCTTTTACCAATGGCGAGGTGTGGGTACCACTGTAAGCCATTTGGTCAAGGTCCTAAACACATATCAGGAAAGAACCAGTTTCAGGATATCTAGACTCTCTCTCATCCCTGATGCCTTTTATTATTCCCTTATAATTGCAAGAAAGATACTGAATCTAGTAACACCTGTGAAAGGAGGAGTCCTCTGAACTTAGCTGTCATCAAAGGGTAATTAGAACCCTACATTCTTTTGTACTTGGAAACATAGGTCACCAACAAAATATATTCAGTGAAGATATATGTTCCCCACAAAGACTATTTCTTTTCCTGATACTCTCATATTTTTCATTTAACTGTGTAATCAGAATGTTCCTGTTACCTCTCCCCAAACCTCTCTTCTCCCCACTCTATCACTTCAACTACACCTATTTACCATTAGATTATAGCATCAGCAGCACTTTTAGTGAAACTTCACTGACTCAAAAAGTTTTTTCTTTTGGTACTGGAGGTTGAACCTTGGGCCTTCTCCTTGAACCATACCTCTACCCCCTTTTAAATATTGTTTGAATTTTGAGACAAAATCTTCCTAAATAACTAAATTACCCAGACTGGGCTCAAACTTATGATTCTCCTGCCTCAGCTGCCAGAGTGCTGGGATTATGGGGGTGCACTACCATTCCTGGCTCTGACTCCTCAATTAAGTCCAGCTTTGCTGACATTTGGTCCCACGTCACCTTCTAATTTACCATGCCTCAACATTCATTTCCTTTGTTGTATGACTGTTTCCCATGCTACAGCTTAATCTGTAGGAACAGAAAAAAAAAATGCTTTGTGTCTTCAACATATTTCCTTGTGCCTATGATGGAGCAGGCTCCCCCCAGAAGTTGTTTAACAAGTAGAAAAAAATGGATAGAACCCTATGTGGGCAGATCAGCCATACACAAGGGTTGAGGCTATGAGATACAAAACTGTGGTACTTTACTGTAAAAAAAAAGTTCATGATGACTCAAGGAGGAGGGGTGTGAGAAGTAAGGCCAGAAAGGCAGGTGGAAATATGGTCATTATAAAGGTTTGTAAGTCATGTTAAAGAATTTAGATGTTTTAGATGTCCTACAGCATGGTGGTGCATGACTGTAGTTCTACATTCTAAAAGGCTGATATAGGGGGATCTTGAGTTTGAGTCCAGCCTGGGCA